GAAAGGATCCCTGTTTCGGGGCCTGAAATGTGCGGGTTACAACGCCGCCGCTTGCCTGACACTGTAATGCCTCCCACTCCATCGGATCCCGGTCAGTTATGTGCCCCTAGACACTGAACTCAGACTGCGCGCCAACTACAGCTATCCGGTTTCCCTCCTTGGGTAGCCAACAAGGCGGCGAGGTAGGTATCAACAGATTCAAGAATCAATGGCTCTTGTGGCATCCTGGAGGTCATGTACTTCATTGTCTACAATTCGGGAGAAATGGTAGTTTCCCAAAATGGGGGAACTCCACTATAGACCCCAAAATTCTACAGTCCTTCTTATGGGGGCCCACAAAAAGGGTAAACCCTAAACCCTTATTTTGGGAAACCCCCAAGTACTTTTTCTTGACACAAGTTGCTCCATCCCAGGAGGCGTCCTCCTCCTTTTCCTTCAATCTCCTTCCCCGTTGCCCACGCCGCTGCAGGGTTCAGGGTGCCCTGTTTGCTACAGGCATTGCATGATAGCGAACAGCAAGTGCATGCCGCGCAGCTGAGGAAGGTTCCAGTTGCGGTCTGCTCCTCCTTTTTGTCTTGCAAGGCTCAAGGTGCTACAAGGCGATGCAAGCTGGCACTCAGCTATGCCGCTGACAGGGCAATCCTGGAACCCTACATGGCTCATCTATTCCAAGTTCTTATTTCAAGTTCGGGCAACGTTATGTATGGTAAGGCAACCGTAAACTCTGCTCTGCCAAGCGCTGTCTTTTCCCTTGATGTGCCGTCCTTGCCTCCCCTGACTTCCTGAGTGTGAGACACTGCCGGCGCTGATCAACTGATGGGGTGATCAGAGTCCAAACATAAACTGCGCGCGCGAGTGCTATGCACAGGTGCACAACGACTCGATTGGCATCTGCAATGCTCTAGTCGTGCGCCTCAGCTTTACTGAGAGACTCCAAACTTGCCACATATATATATATATATATATATTTCTACATGTATATATACAATTAGACATGCATGTAACGTAGCACGTGCGACGTGCCCAACGTCCTTTTCATGCGGAGCAACACCCTCGAAGATCTTAAAACCCACATGGCTACTACAGCCAATGGACAATTCCCGCACTTGCACTACCGCTTGCAAACAGGCAGCCACGAGAATCATCGGAAATGACAAATATGACAGTCACGGCAATCATGATGATGGTGATGCAGGTGATGACGAAGATGAGGATGACGATGATCACGCGACCAGGACCATACCCAGAACCTAGACCTACCACCAGCACCAGCTCTTAGCACCACTATCACCAACAACATATGAAGCCAACTGCAACCAAGTTGCGTAACCAATCTGCCGCCCTGGCCAACTCAGGGCACTTTTAGCGTCAGAAAGCAGTGTGGCTCAAAGGAAACTTTGCGTCCAGGTTCTGCGTCTGCATTGTTTCTCCCAGCTCACGGTCAAGCACCGAGATTGGGTTCCTACTCTCGCCCAGGCAAGCCTGCACAAGGCTTTGTGAAACTTTGGCATCTGGGCAGAAGGAGAGACGTCGACACTGCGTTCCTTGGCCAGATTGAAATTGGCCGACTGTTATGTTATGCCCTGCCATTGTGGCATCCTCATGCTGCACCTGCACGACGGCGTGTCGCTTGAAATCTCAGCTCTGGCAGGAACGGCTGATCAGTTTCTTGTGAACGGTGAAAAGCCTGCGAAACTATGCTCACCTGCATTTAGGCATGCTGCGCCCGTGCGCCGAGGCTGTGTGCAGGCTTTTCGCAAAATGGTGAATCTAAAGCGCAGTCTCACACGACAATTTCAGTCTCAGCTGACCACGCTTCAGCCTTGCAGAGATCGATCATTACCCATATCACTTCACATCCCTGCGACATGTTGTATCAAAACAGGAGGCGAGTGATGAGTGAAGGGTAGGCGGGGGGGCGGGGGAGCAACGCGGGCAGGAGATGGGAGGAGGGGAGTCCTCTGCAGCACCATTCAAGGCGGCGCATTTCCCGCCTTGGTCTAGGCGGATCAATCTCGACACACGACGCACTGAAGGTACTTCCGCTACAGTTGCTGTAGTGACCGTGAGACAATGGACTGCGCCAGGGCGAAGGGCAAGTGCTAGCTGAAAAGCTAGTGATAAGCATGAGGCCAGGGCTGAACATGGGACTGCCGTCATCAGTGTATACCTGGGACTCGGGCAGGATATCACACTCTACCCTGGCATGTGCACTATTAAATGGCAATGCGTCCGAGGTTGGGACTCTAATGTTGCGCACAGCCTGCAGCCGGTTCATTAGGAAAGAACAGACATCTATCGCAAAAAGCAGCAGCTGGCTCCATGTGAAAAAGTGGGAGGCTGATACATTGCAGGCTGCTCTATGGCGCAAACAAACCTCGCACAGCTTATGCAGTCATGCTTTTGCGGGCGAGAAGCGTATTGACAGTTCGAACCTGGGTTGTTTCTGGCTTTGCAACCTGTCCACCTTAGGTGCACACACCGTCCTGGCTGATAAGCATAGCCGGCGTAGTGGCTGATCTGTCAAGTGACTACTGACCAGCCAAGAGAGCTTCAAACAATCATGGGATCTGAGTGCTTCACTCAAGGCAATACTTGGTCATACTTCGCTTTAGCATGCATTGTGCTGCAGTGATGCATGTGTGCCCATGCGACATGCCGCACAGGACGGGGGGATGCAAGATCAGGAGTTTTTCTTTCTTGCTTACAAGCTTTTAGCGCAATGCGCAATCTTTGGACCTTGTCTAGCCCTATATTCTGGTTTTTGTCACTCTGCCTCTGCGCAAATCTTATGCACACAAGTCTGGTGGAGAACTCGTGCTGGCTTCTTGCAGAGTAATACAAAATACGGCGTTGCCGACCCTGGGCTCATACGGCACCCTGGCGCAAAGCTTTTGCGCAAGGTTTGCACCTTCTCATCTCAGTCTAATGGTCGAAGGTTCCTGCTGGAGTGGAAGCATGATGCAAGGCCCGCTGAATCTTTCAGAGCTGAGTAGGAAGTAGAAAACCCAAAACAAGTGGAACAAGACGACGCAAGCACCTGGAAAGCTTCCAGAAAGACGAACGCACGCCTCAAGAGTTGGAGGCGTGAAGCCCACGACTGCGCGTGTCCTCTTGAAACTTCTTGTTGCTGAGTTTTGCATCCTGGCTGCCGACAACCTTCAAGTTCATAGGAGCGGTGGCGCAGTGTTCTCCTACAAAATCAAGATTTGTAAGCTCTGCCCCTGAGTCATTCCATGTATACTACTAGTATACTAGCTTCCAATTCGTCATACATCTTCTTTTTCCATTTGATTCTCAACCCTAAACTTTAAGCCCTTCGAAGCCCTCAGCCCTAAACCCTTTTGTGCAAACTATTGTATACATCGAACCGCCTCATTAGACTTTCTGTCCAAGGCTCCCAGAATCTCCACCAAAGCCTTGGCAGGGGGGTTCAGGGTTTTATGGTTTAGGCTGTCTTTTTCGTTGTTTTTTGCCACAGGGTCTTGGGTGCCCGCAAGGTGTTACGGGGATATGAAGGTTTTTTCCTACTCTAGCTGGCTTCTTGCAGCAGGGCGGAGGGATCGCCCAAAGGTAACTGTACAGACTCAGACTTTTTTGACTTGCCAAGTCACCAGAGAAAAGTTTGAGCCTGGAACCTTAAACCTTGAATTCAATCCATGGAACGGCTGAGACTCCATCACCTTTTGGCTGCTGGCGCAGCATCAAAACCGCATCAACACAAATAAAGAGGGTAAAAAAGACAAGGGACCGTTCCAAATGTCTGAGAGGAAGACATACGGAAAGCTGTGACCTCGTCTGCCGCAGGCTTGCTGACATCACATCTCAACTTGCGCGACGAATTGCAACACGTACGTACTTCTGCAACTCATCCGATACGGTGCCCCACTGCTGTAACACACGAGTGCTGTGCCTTTGCCCCGGGTCGACGCAGCAGTGCTCATGAAGTCTGGATAAAAGGCCTGAGAATATGCAGCATACGCGCTTGCAACGTTCTCTTCTCCTCAAACTGCATGGATGACATTACTGACTGTAGCATGCCTCGTTAATGCAAAGGTCACTCTGAAGTGCGTGGATACCTGGCTTGCGGTATCATCTGCCCAAATCTGTGAAATGCCGCCGGGTCACCGAATCTCTACAGTTCACGGGGCCGAGATCGCAAATCTTTGTCCTGCTTGCGCATGTTTGTTGAATTTACCTGGACACTGGCTTGGAAAGCCAGGCTTCTATCAAGACGCGACCGGACGAGCTGCCATGAGCTCATCGGCTCGGGCCTTTGCATGGAATTCTTTCACAGGGCCTTTGTGGACTGGCCAGTCATGGCCAGTCCACGGCCCAAGCTCCGTGGGATGCGTATTCATGAGCAGCACAGACGCAAGGCACGTGCATCGCACTCAGCAGGCACGGTTCGTTCCTGGGCTGCAGCAAAGCTAGCCAGCTGCAGGATGAGAATCAAAAAGCCCATGCACCCGCAAAACCCAACATCCTTCAGCCGCCGCCTAACTGCATTCCTCTGGCACACCCCGTTCTCCAAACGAAGCGGCATGAAAACCTTCCTAAGGTTTCACATTTGGCCAACATGTCACATGTCCATCAGCCCCATATAGCATGATTTCTCTGGCCAAGCCTATGTGGCCATGTGAACACGGCAGGATGATCGACATGTGAATATTGAAAATTGTAGCAAGAGCTCTTACAAATACAATTGTGCGGCCAGCGCGAGCTCTTACACTTCTGCCGCCCACGGCGAAGAGAGTGATTCAGCCCCGCCGGTGGCAGAAAAGCCAAGCTGTTACAAAAGCGCCTACAGTAAAGCCAAAAAGAAGAAAGCTCCCCTCTGCGGTGTCCGCTTTGCGGACCCTACAAGCAAATGCAACTACAACACAGCTTCTGCTTGCCATAAGTTCAAGAAAAAAGTTTTATGTCCCAACCCAGGGCCCAGACATGACCACAAGGTTGCTGCGAATTAGTGGGCGTGTCCATCGTGACCTGACCCATGATCATGACCGTCCCCTCCGTCCTTCGGGAATACAGTGCTCATGGCCAATCAGAATCAAGCCAATACAGACAGCCCCGATGCCGAAGGACACGAACGCGAGAAGGCGCTCTCCAAAGGTGAGCTTGGGGTCGTACATCTTCCGAAGGCAGTCAGTAGCGCCAACGTGCAGGTAAACTCCACCGCCGAAAGCCAAGATAAGGCCAACGAGGGAATCGTCTACTGGTGTGGCTGCAATGATGAGTGCCCCCATCAGGACGCTGAGGCCGCTGAGGAAGTTGAAGGCCAAGGCCTTCAAAGTGGACAGTTTGGCCACGGGGCCAGTCAAAATGACGAAGTCCGCGATCTCTTGAGGGAGCTCATGCAAGATGGTGCCAGCAGCCACACTCCAGCCAAAGGCATTCCCGCAACCTTGGAACGCTGCCCCAATGAAGAAGCCGTCGCAGAGATTGTGAAAGAAGTCCCCGATGATCACGGCTCCCAGGAGGCGAGCCTTGGCCCTGAATTTCTGTGCCTCGTCCATGCCTTGCAGCTCAGTCGGCTCCTTCTCAGAATCCTCCTGGTTGGTCCTCTCAGGGTCACTGGAGCTGGATTCCCTCTGCCCACGCGCCATCATGAGCAAACCATGCCCGCAAGGATCATGGCACCCCATCGCCAAACAATGTCCACCTGCTGTTTTCCAACCCACTCCAATGAGATGCGTCGACTCAAACAGCAGCAGGAAGAAGGCACAGGCAAGCAGAGCACCAGCAGCAAACGCGAAGAGCATTGCACTGAACACAGGTTTCTGGACCATCCTTCTCAGCGGGCCAAACATCAGGATCACCCCGATGAAGGTCACCAAGTTCACCAGGAAAGCTGACAGAAAGGCCCCCGCGTCTGTGGTAACTGCCACCGGCGCTTTTTCCGGCAGTTCGCCCAGAGGCTCGATGTCTGCGCCCACAGCGTCCTTCAAGTAGTGGGCTGTTGCTTCGAACTCTGTTGGCACATGCTCTGCAAAGAAGGCCACTCCGGATACTGCACTCGTGTCAACCTTAAAGAGGGTCTGCCATGTGCTCGCATCGAACTGCAGGTGGTAGCAGGTGTTGGCAAGGCGTTTGGCTGAGGGTGAGGTAGATTGTAAACAGTAGCCCTTGCCATTACCCTAAGTGTGGCTTCTCCCGAAGCCCACGAGCACCGGGGAGTTTGAGAGTGTGCGCTGGATTGACGTCGCAGTGTCACGAGGGCAAAGTTGCTGCTGTTTAATCGGCCAACAGTCGCGAGTGACATTGGGTCAAAGTTCCAGAATTGTTGTTGATATTTCAACCTGTTTTGGACGGGTCCGGCAAAGCTTACAACCGCCACGTGGAGGTGGTCAGCGAATGCACACTGCATCACTCCTGGTAGGATTGTGGCTTTGTTGCCTGAGTACTGGAATTCAGTTTCTCAAGCAGTCAACTCCGGTGGAGCAAAGTAACAGCTGGAGCCATACATCCGATAGCAAGAGCCAAGTCTGGTCCCAGGCTTCAGGAGTCTTCGTTACATCGCAGGCAAAGAAGATCGCGGACGCGAAGCAGGACGCTGCTCAGGGCGTACTGCGCCGGACAAGCGGCTACGACAGAGCAAGTCAACAGGGCGGTGAAGGTTCTAGGGGGACATCACTCCCAGTCGTTGTTACCAGACCAAGCAATACGCAAAATGAGTCAGGGAAGCTCATCATGGTATTGCGAATCATGCAAACAATGGTGCAAAGGCAGTGCGGCATATTGTGGCTTCTGTGGGTCGCATTGGACGGTAGTACAGGGGCAGCCCCCACAGTGGCAAGACGCTGGATGGGAACACAGGAAACCCTCTCCACACAGGCGTATGTCACCAAGGAGAAGACAGGCGCCTTGGAGCGAAAGCACGTCAGCCCCTTGGACACAGCGTGGGGAGAAAGGCAAAGGAGCGTGGCAGGGGCCAAACAGCAGAGGCAAAGGAAAACAGGCCACGTACCAAAGTCCGGTGTGGCAGTGCTCAACGCCGCCATGGATGTCATCTGGCAGTGGTGCCAGCCAGTTGCCCAACGTAGGGGCAATCCATGCGGGCGACGGTACGCAAATCCAAGAATTGGTTGGCGCTCTCAAGGGAGCATATGCCAACTCAGCAATGCCGCCAGAGATAGCCGAGATGCTCGCAAGAGCGGAAGGCAGTGCGACGAAGCAGCAAACAAAAGATTTGCACTCCTGCACAACACAGCTTGGGGCGGCCAGGAAGCAGTTACAAGCTATCAGGGCGGCTATGTCGACGCAGGAGTCTGCATGGACAACTTTCTTACAGAACACTGCGGAAGCTGTCGAAAAAGGGAGTGTAGACCATGCTGCAAGAATGGAAGAGTACAGGAGCAAGGAAGAGGAAGCCTTGCAAAAAATCACGCAAGCCAGGCGACAAATTCGAACCCTGGCGGAGGCAAAGAACGAGGCGGAAGACGTGGATGGGTCGGAACCCGAAATGATGGAAGAGATTACAGAGGATGCAACAGCGTTGTCAGCACGGCAGGCGCAAGACAAATTGAGGATCGTACTAGACTCAGTGATGGCCAAGCTTCCTGCCAGGGAGGTCGACCATATCAGAGAACGAACACCACGACGCAAGGAGAGGACGGAGGCAGGGGATCGACCGGACAAATCGGCAAACCCTGGTTAGGTCACTGTGCCGAATGGGCACCCAGGAGTGGGCACACGTGGCCAGGCATGCCGCACTACAGACATTCAGTCTGTCAGGAGCATGACTACAAAGACAGGATGACGGCGCAAAGTTTTGGTCTCACATGGGAGTTTTGTTGCAGTCCGTTAGGTATTGACGAAGCGTATGCCAATCATGCTGCATTGAACCTTGGAGGTGACCTTTTCTGTGCTGAATGGTTTGGTCATAGTGGCAGAGACGTTGTAGAGGGGGCACACGCTGTTTCCGTTGGCGGCCCGACGGACGGTGTTGGGGCTCCTCCAGCAAGTAGCATCAGGCTTGGGAACAGTGGCACGCAGATTTGCGTGAAGGCGGACGAAGCGATCTTGCCTGGCTGTTTAAAAAAGAACAGCGGACGCGGCAGGAAACCACACCACCGCGTACGCTTCGGGCCTGAGCCAGCTAGCTCCAGGAGTACGTGCGATGGAATGGATCCATTACACGTTGTAGGGTTACAAGCTGAGACTTGCAAGACACAGTGCGCGAGTTCTCAGCGCAATTTTGCAGCAGCTGCGGCGAAGACAGCTGATGTTTTTGACGCTGGAAGCGTTGTACAGATTCAGAATTCCCTCCTTGATGTAGGGGATTTCCATGTTGATGAGTGGAACAATTATGATGGTGGTTCTAGCTGTGGCAAGGTCAGTCTTGATCAGCAAGTGTGCCAGGCATCACCTCGGGATCAGCAGCCAGTAGTGCGAGTTCTGTGCCTTGACAAGTCGATTCCTGCGCCTAGGAAAGTTTGTACTTGCCTTGACCTGGGTGTGCTCCAGAGGGTGATGCAGGGCAACTCCATTGCATCATTGCAGGTTGATTGCCCCGACACTAATCTCCTTGATGGGAGGTGCAAGGCGGCGTGTGAAGATTGCATGGCGAGACCCAAGATTCCTTTGCACGCTGTAGGCAGCATTCATGTATATACGGATGGAGCTTATGACCCAAGCACAGGTGCAGCTGGATGGGCGTGTGTGTTTATCGCTGAGCACAATGAACAAATGCATTGGCTTGGCTTCTTGTCAGGGCCATGCGATGCAGAAGCAAGACTTGCTGTTGGAAGAGTGCCGAATGCTTATGTGCCAGAATGTGCTGCCATACTCCGAGCTTTCGTCACGGTGCTTGATTTTGATGGCAAGACGTGCGTACATTTTGATTGTCTGAGTGCGACGCAGTCTGCCATCGGGCTGGCTGCGTGCAATGACAAAGTTGCTCGAGCGGCTAATGGTATGTACACTGTGCTTAAGATTAAAGGGAAGTGTCCTGAACATCGACATGTGCCGGCCCATGCTGGTGTCCCCTTCAATGAGCTGGCTGATGTTCTGGCAAAAAAGGCAATGAGGACGGGACATGTCATGAACAGTCAGGATTTGCTTGGGCAAGCTGTTGCAGACGACGTAGCACCTTGGCTGTGGATGTCCCTGCCGGAGCTCAATTGCCAACCGCAGTGGCCAGGGATTAACCCGGTGGATGGAGCTTTCCATGGCATGAATCGGTGCCTTCCTTTGGGGGCCCAGGAGGTGTCTGCTATAGAGGCTTGTAGGGAGGACCCTGTGGTTGAAGGCTTGTCGGCGCTTCATGTCCATGATAAGGTTGATCAGAACAAACCTTGCCAAGGCAGTGACCATATAGCAGGCGATAGAAATGCTGCCGAAGTTGATCGCGTTGTCACGTTGAGGATGTTGACGTACAATGCGTTGACGTTGAAATCGAGCACCGACCAGTTTGCCATTGCCAAACTGCTCTGTCGAGAGTCTGTTGACATTGCAGGTTTCCAGGAAACCCGGGGACATGAAGATGATGTTGATGACATACAGGGTGAAGGATATGCCTTCAGGAAGTTCCGTGCGGCCGCGGATCATGGTCAGTGCGGGGTGCAGATCTGGCTTAGGAAAACGGGTCCATGGGCTATCGACAAGTTTGCTGTTGTTCACCGCAGCCCGCGGATTCTGTGCGTGAGTGGTAAAGTTGCAGGCGTAAGGACTGTGATTTGCACGGCGCATGCGCCGCACACATTTGCTTGCGATGAGGACATCGACATGTGGTGGCATGCTTTGAGAAGCGTGCTGGCAAAAGTTGAGGGCAATGTTGCTACAATTCTACTGCTTGACGCCAATGCCCGCTATGTCGTCGGATGCGACGGATCGCGTAAGGCCCAAAATAGAAATGCTGAACATCTCGAGGCTTGTGCTTGTGATTTTTCTCTTGCCATCACCCAGCATCGGGATCATGTTGGTAGGGAGGTTGTCACCTGGCGAAGCCATACCAATGCTGCGGCTAAGCTTGATTATATCTTAGTGTCGAGCGCGTGGGAAGGCGCCTTCCGCACCCTTGGCACGCTGGACGATGCGGACGAGGTTGATGTTTCGCATGACCATGTTCCGCTGATGGCTGATGTTGCGATCAGGGCTCCGCTTGAGGGCCCTGCCAAAATCAGCATTGATCGAAGAAAGCTACGAGATCCAGCCAATGCGTTGAAGTTGCAACAAATCTTGCTGAATGTGCCGCAGCCTGCTTGGCATGTTGACGTTGAGAGTCATGTTGAATCCCTCCACCAGGGCATAGCTCAAGCTTTGCAGAGCCATTTTCCTTTCACGAAGGCTCAGCCAAGGAAGCCATACATCAATGCGGATACTTGGGAGATGATCAAAAGCAAGCAGGGGATGCGCAGGACCTTGCATTACATGAAGCGTGCTGATGGCCAGGCTGTGCTGCATTCTTGTTTTCAAGCTTGGAAGCAGAGCGGCGTGGGTAGATTCGAGGATGACAGACATGACGCCAAAACGAGTTGTAGGAACAGACGTCACGGCATCGCAGTAAGAGAATGTCAGATCCAGCGTCTGGGCAGGGTCCTGAAAGTCAGGCTTCGACAGGACATGGCGGCGTATGTTAGCAACGCCATTCGTGAAAGTAGGGAGCAGGGGCCCGGCCAGCTTGATAGGTATGTGAGGGGCGTGCTTAAGCAGGGTAGGAAATACAGATCTCCTCGGGAGGCACCGGTTGTCAGACTTGCTAATGGACAGCTAGTCACAGACTGTGACCAAACCCGTGAGATTCTGAGCGAGCATTTTGCAGCAGCTGAAAAGGGCGTATTGGTTAAGTCTGGTGACATCAAATTGGGTGTGAAACCGGTGTGGTCTGACAATTGCGAAGACTCGGATTTCATGCTTGACATGCCTTCATTGCAGGACCTAATGAACGCTTTTAGGAAGATGCCTCATGGCAAAGCGTGTGGCATGGCACAGATTCCTGCAGAAGCTTTTTCCGGAGCTGCAGCTGAAGCGGCTTACATGTTCTACCCTGTGCTGTTGAAGGTCATGACCAATGGGATTGCTCCGAGCGGCCTTCGGCACATGCTGGCCGTGGCGATCCCCAAACCAGGGAAAGTTTTCGGAACCTTGGAGGCATGGAGGTCGATTTCTCTCATGGAACCCTCCATGAAGGCCGTTGCCAAGTCGGTCCGGACGAAGTTGGTGGATCATTTGAGTCCTCATTTTGCTTTGGGCCAGGGAGGTGCGAGACCTGGTTCTGGCATGGCAGCTGCGCAGAGTTTGGTCAGAGGGCACATCAGGAGGTTGCAGCAGGAAAAGGCTTCTGGAGCGATCATCTTTTTAGATGGCATCAGCGCTTTCTATGCAACCGTCCGGGAGTATCTTTTCGACCAGGGCTCCAACATCAACGATAGCGAAAGGCTGGTCAAACTCATAGATCTTCTTCATCCGTCCGAGGATGTTCGTGCCAAGATGATGGGTTTGTTGTTCGGGCCTAGCATCTTGCAG